TAATGTCCGAATTGGTTTCCATATTCCAGTCATTCCTTTAGCAGATATTATTGGGTTCCTTAAAAAGGTAACATACATGAATCAGTGTTTGATAAACCAAGATTATGGGGGAGATTTAAAAATTTGACTCAGAGGAGAGACTCCTTCGAGTCCTATCACAGATGTGATTGCTGCGTTCTGTGACCTCCTGTCACAAAATGTGCCTTCCATGGCATTTGTGTTTCTTCTTTCATTAAATCTATTTCTATACTTGCCCCTTCTCCAATGGACTGTAAATTTTAAGAGCATAGGATGTGTCTTTTCCTCCATAGTCTGTAACCAGAACTCAAATATAGTTGGCATCCATGCCTTTCGAAGAAAATACAGTGGAGTTGAGAAATTAGATGAAAGATGAGAAAATTTCTATCCAAAGCAACGTTTTCTAATCTGATTTCACACCATAATGTGCCTACTCTCCAAGTGGAAGATATAGCAACCTAGGCTTAGAAGCGTACATATCAAAGGCTCTGAGAAAGTCTACAGGATCGAAACCTATTTAATTTTATTTTGCTTTCTTTCCCAAATCTATCTGACAAGTATATTTTAGTATCTGTGTTCTGCAGTGGACAGAAACTCATTACAAACTGAGTTAGTTGCCAAGGGGATTTGGTGGTTTATATAAGAATTCTTAGTGAAACTACAGGCTATTAGGGCTGGGGTTGGGGGCTCAGCAGTCTCTCCACCCATTTTTCTCTCCTGCTTTTGTTGGTTTCACTTTGGATGCTGACCTCATTCTTTTCTACTGTAGACAGTGGGAGACAGTCCCTTTCAGTATAGAGGCAACAACCTCAGGTCCAAAGGAGAATACTCAATTTTACACACCTAAATATCAAATTTTCCAAAAGAATTGGGTGTCTGTGGGTCATGCAGCCGCCATTTTATGCAATCACTCTTGATAGAGGTGGTGTTTAAAAGAGTGATCCTGTCTATGCCTTTCATACACTTCTGTGGTCTGGGTGGGATGTGGAGAATGACTATGGTAAGAGGGAAGTTAGGGAAGTTGACTGGGAAAAGCAGAAAAATAGCCATTCATTCATTCATTCATTCGTTCAACTAATTCATTGAACCATTCTTTTTAGGCACTTTTGAAGACAGTAGGGATAGAACAAATTAGATATTCCTAACTCCAGCAAGCTTATATTCTAGTGAGGAGACAAGTAATATAAAAGACCAGTTACACATATGATATGTTTGATGGTAATAGACAAAAGAGAAAAAATAAACGAAGGAGGAATAAAAAGTATCTGTGAGGAGAATGGAGCTGAAAGTTTAACAAGGGTGACCAGGGAAAGCACCTCAGCTGAGAAAGTGATGTAGATAAAAGAGTGGAAGAAGTGAGGGAGACAGCTGCGCAGATTTTCCCCAGAGGATGCAGGTGTGAAGGACTAGAGTGAGTGTGCTGAGGGTGACAGAGGGAGGATGGGCAGCTGGAGTGGTGGCCACAGGGAAGACCAGTGGGCAGAGCAGGCAGTGAGGCAGGGAGTGAGGTGCACCTGGGTAGTGCTGGGGTTCAGGTTCTGGTAAAGACCTGGCTTCACTACTGAAGTGGAAGCCTATGGAGGGCTTCAAGTAGAGGGGCAACATGATCTGACTCTTGATTTGCCTGCTTGGGCTGCTTTGGTGAATAGACTGAGGCAGAGCCAGGTGGGAAACCAGTGGTATAATACAGAAAAAGATCATAGCATGCACCAGGGTGGTGGCCATAATAGTGATGAGAAACATTTGGATTCTGGGTGTATTTTGAATGTAGATCCAACAGATTTTGCTGATGCAGTGGCTGTCAGGTACAGAAGAAAGAGAAAAGTTGACAACCACAGCAAGGTTTTGGACCCAAACACTGGAAAATATAGTTGTCATTCACCAGCCGAGGAAGACTGCAGGCATCAGAGGGTCTCAGAAAGGCACTTTTTACACATGTGAAGTTTGAAATGTGTATTAGAAATCCAAGTGGAGATGTTGTAGGTGTGGAGATTAGGGCAGAGGTCCTGGATGCAGATAGAAATTTGTGAGTCATCTATACCATGGGTGTTGTTTAAAGGCATGAGACTTGATGAGGTCACCCACAGAGTGTGTGCGGATAGGATAGGAGGGATCCATCCAAAGTCAGTGCTAGGGCACACCAGGCAGTGAACCTTGTTACTTCAGAATATGTATTATTTCCTCTCAGAACACTTAGATTCTACAAAGTTTGAAATATGCTAACTAAAAGAACATGCCTTTACACCTCTGTTCAGAGGATATAGGAGTTAGTTTATGTTCTTCGGTCTTAAAAATATACTCTTGATTTTCCAGTATGGGTACAGTAGTCTTAAGGTAGTGTAGTATGTACAAGTAAAACATGTTGTGGAAGTATATAACCAACTAGGATATTCTGCATATTCAGAGTAAACTGCTTTAACCTCATGAACCTTGGGGGAAAGATTTAAGGTGCGACAGAGAATTGAGCACTTCTGAAGTTCCTAAATAAGTGGGTGGAGATGGCAGGATATCTTCTGCTTCGTTGTAAAGGATGTTTAGAAAAGTTAGAAATGGAAAAAAGATAATTTTTGATAATGAGAATGAGAATTAAGTACATAAAATAAAAGAATTACAGTCTGATCACCTGCCTACCTGAAGCAAGGAGTTTGCTAAGGAAAAGAGAAATCAGAAGAGAGAGTAAAATCAGATTATTACAGTTTCTTGTTCTGTGTTGGTAGAGGAGCACACTCTTTGGAGAGAGTTTGAGGAATGTTATTTTACACGTGTCTGGACCACATAAACATATCCTACATATTCCTTTGTGTAACTTCTCTGGCGATCACAATAGCTTTGGCAGCTTATGATTTTAGACCCTTCCTATAGCTGTTCTTTTCATATCTGAAAAATGAAAATGAATTTTTAAAATATTAGCATTTATCAAAGGATTAATGGTAAAAATTGTGGAAAATTCCATATTGCTTAGAAGTAGTCATGATCCTAGCATTTAGGGGTATGAATATGTATATATTTTTTAGTTTCTTTATTTGCTAGCTTCCACTAAATTCTTAGTCCTCTCTTTCTTGCTTTTTGCTGGATAGCTTTCTTCTTATCTGAAGTACCAAACTAAAGAAAATAATCCTACAAAAATGCTCCCACAGGTAATGGAGATCTAGGGGTCTCTTCCGTAGAAGCTAAAGATAGAATGTTGGTATAACCTTTTTATTAATGGAGGAAATTGGGTCATGCCTGCCACTTCCCATTTTAGCAGTAATCTATGCAGAAAATATTAAGCTCACTGGTACTTTTGACTTGACAGGTGGGACATTTATACTGGGTTATAAGTATGTATCAGGAATGTGTATTTTTAGATGGTCTTGCAAAATTCTTAATCCTTCCATGATTACTGAAATATTTTGCTTGAGTTGTATAAAAGAATAATGCCTACAGGATAAGCCCTCAAAATGGCTATGTTCAGTAGTCTTCACTCAGAGAAAACTGCCTTATGCCTGTTTCTCTCTTCCCCCACGTGTGTCCTCCTCCTCGGGAGCAGCTCACTTGTATGTCACTCACAACATCTGAGTCATTAGCAGCTCTCATCTCCCTTTGAACCCGGGCTCTGACCATCCTTAGTAGAGTAGCTAATCCTTCCATTGTGCTGTGGGCATCATCTCTTCCCAGCCATTCAAGGTTGGCTGAGCTGCTTTGGGTATTATTCCTTATTTCTCGTGGAACATTATTCTGTTTCTACAGATTATCCTATTCACCAAAGAGTTGCAATGTCCAATTTTTAAACACCTGCTATCACCCACTGCCCTTCCCATTTCTCCTCTTTTCTTGGTAGCAGTACTTCTCACAGTAATGATCTCTGCTCCCTGTCCATGTCCCTGCTTCTCACTGCTCACTCTGTGCCTGGTGTCCTCTGTACCAGTCAGGTCAGGGTTCCTGAACCCTGCCATCTTGCCAATGTCCTCGGTCTGTTCCTAGTTCTCATCCTCTGTGAACTTTCAGCAGCCTTGGACTTGGTTTACACACTTTCCTTCTTAAGCTCTTTTTTTCCCTGACAGTTGTGAGGACCGGGTTTTCCTCTTCTTTCTATGCTGCTCTCTTTCTGGTGTCCTCTCCTAATATCTTCTCTTCCTGTAAGAGGCAGAGTGGCACAGGGCACAGAACTTACCCCTTTGCTCAGAACTTGTGCTCAGGGTTGTGTCACTCCATCCCATGGCTGTAAGTACTGTTTGCCTGGTAATGTCCTCCGGGTGTCTTCCTGCTCCACCTTTCCACTGGTGCTTTTGCTAGGCATCTCCCACCTAAAACTTGAGTCCATAATGGCCATGAGGGCACCGTGGCCTGATTCCCTCTTACCCATGCAGCTTTACTGGCTGTTTTCTCTCTTTTGCTCTTTCAGCTCCTACCACAATTGATTTCTTGCTGCTCCTCTAAGTGCAACCTCCTTCCTGTCCAGAAGCTCTTCACTTACTGTTCACTGCCTAAAATACTCTTTGCCCAGATCTTGTACCCAATACACGTATTTCTACAGAGGCCTCCCAACTCCCATGTGTACAGATGGTGCCTCTGACCTGTTGTGTTTTCCCTGCTTGTTAACTATCACTACTTTAAATCATGTATTATTCCCCCACTATGGAAACACAGGCTGAAGCAAGCCAAGTAGCTAGCCTGTCTGTCCTGTCTCTCTTAAGCTTATGTCATTGCTTGGCTCTTAGTAGCCACTCGATAAGCTTTCGCAGAGTGAGTGAATAAATCAGTGAACAGAATTATATTACACATTGTTTTATATATAAACCGTATTATGACATCCTCAATTTAATCCAAGGTACAGCTAGATGTTACTTTGATCCTATGTATAAACATGGTGTAAAAGTGGCCAGGTAAAGACTCTTGTGTGAAAACCCCTAGAAAGAGACTTCTATGATTGATACATGAGGTTTCTCTTCTTGTTCTCCTCTCTGGAAATAAATTGTGTTTTCTTGGCTCTTCCCATGCAGTTGAAGAATAAGTTCATGAAAAAGCTGCCGCGTGATGCAGAAGCTTCTAATGTGCTCGTAGGGGAGGTCGACTTCCTGGAGATGCCTTTCATTGCCTTTGTTCGGCTGCAGCAGGCTGTCATGCTGGGTGCCCTGACCGAGGTCCCTGTGCCCACGAGGTAAGCTGCTCCCCAGGGCCACAGCTGCAGCGTGTGTGTGGGAGATGACCTCCCCAGAAGGCCAGGGCATCAACAGGGTGAGGGGACATCCAGGGTGTTGAGGGAAATAATGCAGAGTCTGGCTGTAATATATGGGGGAGGGTACTAGTTTCTAATGATTTATTCTATTTCATATTTATAAATATCTCTTAACATACAAACTGTAGATTTAACAGATTGAGGAACTGCATCTGAGAGTTGAAGTGAGTCTGTCCATAGAAAATTGTGTGGAGGTGAAAGCTGCTTTCATTTGGTCTGTGTCTTATCAAAAAACTGGTACTAGGTTAGTGAAGGCACATCTTATATATAAATACATATATCTGTAAAAATCTGTAAGCTTCACACCTAAACTTGCACACTTTACAGTTATGAGTATTTTGCCACATGCCTTTTTCGTTGAAAGGAAGCTGTTGCCATAGCTGCGGTCGTGTTCCGGTATGCGGCACAGAAACTTGAAGTCCTCTTCATCTCCTTTGAAGCCTAGCTCCTTGGAATTCAGGAAGCTTGACTTATGGCTGCAATTAGTTTAAAGCAAGTTAATGCTTCACTTAAACTTTTGCTGAGGTAGAGTTTAAAGAGGAACTTGTATCTTCAGGCTGACTTTAGGAAATTACCATATTAAAGAACTTTGGGGGTGGGTGTGCTTTCTTTAGGTCCTAGGGCAAGGAAAGGTGACTTTCTCTTTCCTTTAGTTTTCCCCTATGAAAAGGAAGGTCAGTGAATCCTTCTTAGGGAGCTCAGATGTTCAGAACATGATTAACCAACAGTGACAAGAGGCTCATGGTTTGTTTTGAGCCAGGGTGGGAGGAAAATTAGGAAGGAGAAAATTTCCTTCTGGTCTTGAAATTCAGGCCATTATTAATGATCATTCAGGTACTTTTTTTTTTTAATTCCCATTTATTTTTGGCACTTGGGGCAATGTTGTCTTTTCAATATGAAAAAAAGCATCACATTCAACACAAAATAGAAATGTGAAGTGTAGGACAGGACAAAAATCAAGAGTGGGGGGAATAGCAAGAGATGAGATATGCAAAAAAGAGGGGGTTTCCTTGCCCATCTGGGGAGTGACCCAAACATGAAGTTGGCCATGTGCACCTTGTATGACACTCATGCTCTGTGGGGATATGAAGGGCATTCCCCAAGGCTTAGGGACAGTGTCAGGCTTTCCCTCCAAAGGGAAAGGGGCACTCTGGATAGCTGAGAGGGAAATAAATGGAGAGAATACTGTTTACCCATCTCTTGAAGCTGAGACAGGGCCTAAATGAATGTGAAAGGCTGGATTCCCCCTTCCCAAACTGTCCCAGAATGGAAAAATGCCATCCTTCCTCTCGTACTGACCTCTACTCTACCTTTCCCCCTTAGGCTCAGGATGTTGGACGTTATGTGGGTTTTCAGCACTTGTTTAATTTCTTAGACACTTAAAATGGGAATAACATGTAGGGCAATCTTTGGACAAACAGCAGTGGAAAGGAGATGACCATAGCTTATTCAATTAATGGGATTATCATGATTTGTGTTTTCTGTAATTTAGCTTTTTGCTTGAAAACATTCCAGTGGAGCCTTGCAGTTCTATCTGAGCAATCACCTGGCAAATTGCTGACTCAGGCAGGCCCAGGGCAGGAGGCCCAGTGCCTTTATTTACGTCTCTTTGGACTAACTTTACTGGGTCTTGAAAGAAAAAAGCATGCCAAGAAGTGTTAAAGCAAATTGCCCTTGCCTTTGCATTTTTGTGACCATTTTTCTTTAGAAACTGCAAATAAAAACTATTTTAAGAGGCCTTTTTGTCTAACAAAAGTACACATGCATTGAGTAGCAAATCATAATCATTTTTTGTGTCTCTCTTATCATCTGTTCCTGCTCAGCTCATTCTTTTTTTCTTCTGTTCTGGAGGTGGTCTTAATTTAGGGGTGAATACAGCATCATTTGAATTAACAAGAGGAGCCAAGAAATTCAAGGGAGTATAATTTAATAATATCAGAAAACTATTTTCAAGGCAATAATCTGAACAACATATCCTTGCATGTTAACATTTTCCCAGGAAATAGTTTTATCCATTTGCTGTCCTCTGAACCAGTGAAGGCTGTAATCATTGTCAGGAGTCTCATTTGTGTTTTTGTTGTGAGTAATGTGAGCCCATTTACTATGGCTGCATCCTGTGAGATCCAATAAAAGAAATCCTGCAAGGAATGTGCTGGTCATTGCAGAGGACTGGGTCTGCCTTCCAGGATGAATTTTAATGTGCATGCTATTCCGTTATTCTGTGTGGAGACCTGACAATCTGATCTTCTGTGTTCATCTTTCCTTTTAAAAATGGAGGAAAGCTACTCCATTATTATTATTATTACAACAGTATTCCTAATAAGCAGCTTGACTACCAGTCTCCTGTTTAGAAGCATGACTCTAGAACTCCCCTTCCTGTGTAGCTTCACATATTTCTCCATTTACTGTTACTGATTGATTTCTTTTAGTCTTTTCTGGAACCTGTAAGGCTACCAGCTGAATGGGTAGATGTCGGATGTCAGTCTAGGTAGGCCTTCATGCCATTCATGTAAAAGCAAACAAACTGTGGCCTACGATGTTTGAGAAGTTGATAGGCTGGGTTTATGACTTTTCAAGTATCTGGCAGGCACTTTGTTTACTATTGTCTTATACCCATTCACAGAGGCTGCCTCGCACTCATATTTATGAGCTATATTGTGGGATGAATATTGCTACTATCACTTTATAGCTGAAAGAGAGAAGCAAAGGGAAGATTGACTATCAGCTCTGGAAGTAAACCTGCAGAATTCTGACTCAGGCCAAATTTTAGAAAGAGCCTAGGGAGATACTTAGAATGGGTTAGAATAAAACGTTTTAGGACCCTCCCATGAAGAATATTAAAAATGCTAGATTACGTTATAATTTTATGGTCATGGGTTGTATATCTAAGGCAAATGGATATTTAGTACTCCAGAATATCAAGATATTGACCCTGTTAGCATACTGTAATTAATATATATTATGTTACAAATAATTACTTGCCTAAGAAAAATAGTTTGTGCTTATTTTTTAGAACCATTTAAAAACAACCATTACCAAGAGTGGGATAGAGGCCCCGTAGTTCAGTTCTGTCTTGCCCACCAGTCTGACTGCTAGCTGCTCTGAGACAAGTGTAATGTAGTAGGTTGTGGTTGTTTGTGATCCCCATGAATGCTTTGTGGAAGCTGCAGTTTAGCCACATTTTCCAAAGCTGCTAAATATGAATAAATGGGTTATTTGATTTACTGTTGTTTTGAGAGAAGGGAGATTGGTGCATGCTGAGTTTATTCTAGAAATAGCTGTGATGTATAAGGAAAGGGGGGGCACATCCTTTCTGAAAAGATGGAGTGGCTTAGGAAGACTGGCTCCATTTCGGATATTATGCCTCTTCTGCCTGTAATTATTTTGTGAATGTGAGCATCGGGCCATTGGTTCCAGAAGCACATCATCTGGTACTTCTTTTTGTTAAGGAGAAAGCTACAGGCATCCTCTCCAGGCATAATTAGTCATTTGAGAAAGCTCACAAAAGTAGAAAAGGGCCTCATGTAGATGATTGAAACAACTAGGCACTGTTAAAAATTTCAAGTCTGGCTTATTTCATTACGAGTGAATAAAAAGAACTCAGTACATTAATTTTTTTTCTGAGCTGTCAACATGGTCTCTGCCCTTCCAGCTACACAAATATGATGTTTACTCTAATTTGTTAATAAAGAAAAAAGCTTCTGGTTAAAAATAACATCTGCTCATTGACAAAACCCAGCTTTGGTTATGAAGGGAGTTTTCAGTACAGGATAAAAGCTGAGTTTGCTGTGCTGTGCTTCGATCCTCAAGTTGTACCTGCTCTTGCTTCCGCGAGGGAGAAGGGAGAGACTGTGTTTCCAGCAGAAGCATCTCTGTGCCCACTTTTCTCCAGGGTCACATCCATTTCCATAGTGCTTTGTGGATCAGAGGCATCTCTAGGCTCTGTGCTCCTGCAGATGAAGTTCCTGACTTAGGTGATGTTTCCTACCACTTGGGAATGATCAGATTCCTTCTGTTTATTGTTGTAAGAGGGTGGATTTACTGAGTGGGCCCTGACTAGAGGAATATGAAAAGTTTAACTATGTCACCATTTTGTTTCTATTTGGCATTTGGTGATTTTTTTTCATTAAAGAAGGAATAGCTTTAAAAAATTTCCCAGGAAGAGGATCATGCCTTTATATCTAGGTTACTAAGCCAGTAATTCTCAGGCTCGGTTTATCTCCATATGTGTCATAGACACCATTTGTCTATTGCTTCCAGTCATTGTTTGCTATTATTTAGGGAACATGTTGTAGGGAAGATGTGTGCCCTCACCTCACAGGATTTAACTCAGGGCTTATACTCTATCATTCTTGGGAGAGTCACCCACCTTCTACCCAAGTTTAAGTACCATTAGTGACTAAGAGTGTTTCTCTTACTATCAAGCCAGTCTTTGAACTTTGAGCCATATAGTCACCCTGGTAATTAAGGTGTGTGTGTCAGTTGATACTTTCCATAATATGTATTTGTAAGCTGGAATCATGGTAATCACGTATTATCGAGAAGTAGGAAGAGTTACAGAGTGGTTTGGGAAAAGTTTTGGATACCACACATTACTGAAAAGTTAATCTTTAGACATAAGGATCCAGGTGTTAGATATTTTCTCTTATGGCTCTGAGTTTGCACATTTTTCCTAAAACAGTGCCCTTGTTGTTTTGCTTGGCAGCTGTCCCATTTGTACACAGACAAATAGAACCAGAAAATATAGCCAATCTACTCTTATTTCTTAATGGGATTTATACTTTGCTTTAGTGGGTACATTTTAAATGGATTTGAGAGTACTCAAACCAGAGATAAGTCCATTTAGAAAAATCCACTTCACTATCATAAAGTAGCACATTATGATGCTGTATACCAAGTGGTCAGAGTCAAAGGAAGAACAATTCTAGTATGAGTTAAACCTTCATGTTTGGAGACTGACACTGATTCCTGCATGGTAGCATGGACCCTCATTGCTGCCCCTTTTGCTGGTTCACTCACTTGCTGTGATGACTCTCAACAGCAAATATGCCATTCCACTCCACAACTCCACAACTGGTTTCTGCACAAATAAATGATGAATGGTTTGATGCTTATTCTTGAGTAAAATCTGAGTATTCAATCTTTCAGACCCCTTTTTACATTCTTTTTCTTCGTTGTTTGTTGCTGTTGTTGTTGTTGCTGTTTGAGGCAGGGGCTCCCTTTGTAGTGCAGGATGGCCCTGAACTCACTATGTAGTGCAGGCTGGCCTCAAACTTTCAGCAATCCTCCTGCCTCAGCCTCTCAAGTACTGGGATTGCAGGTGTGTGCCACTATGCCCAGCTTGCCTTTTTACTTTCTTAATTCTGGGTTGCTTTTCCTATCTTCTTTGAATTTTATAAGAAAAAAGTGATTAGACATTCAATATACAGTATATTGAAGTAGACTGTAACATTTTATAGAATACTAGCTGTAAATCTTTTTAAACTTAATACAAGATATAGAAATAAGTAATAATAAAATTTGGCAGAGTAAAGTGCTAAGCCATCCCTGGTGTTATAAAACCTATGGAAGTTCCTGCTTTTTTCTGTTGAATCACAGGCCTGGTATATTGATCAGGCGGATGATATTAAGCAGAATTATGTGGTTGAAAGAACAGGATGTAAGAAAGCCTGACTGTCTTTAGTTCTTCCTTTACTCTTCTTTTGGTTTTGTTTTTGGTGCTTGGGAGTGAACCCTGGGCCTGGAGCATGCCATGCAGTGTGCTACCACTGCTCTCCCGACCCCTACACCTGTCATTTATGAAGCCCATCAGTTATGTCCTTCAACCTCAGTTTCTTCACCATTAAGCAGCAATAGTAGAATTGTCCTCTTTGTAGAGGCTTGTATGGAGATTGAAATAAGATGATGAACATGACATGTTCAGCAGGCTTTAAAAAGTAGTGCAGGCCTACGACGCCATCATTTATATTGTCCTCCTCATCTCTCTGTCAGATAAGATGTGACCGAGGGTCACCATTTATATAGTTTTTCTTCTGCATTTTCTTATCAAGTTCCCTCCTCCCCAATGGGGACTGCATCTCATCTTTGCCCAGTGAGAGTCCTTCCAACATGAAAGTGGGACCCAGCTCGTAACTGCATGTTTCAGGACCTATGTACTATGGAGCAGTGCTTTGTGCATTATTAAGAAAACAAGTTTAGAAAGGAAAATGAGGACACTTACAAAAAAAATCTTAACCATCTGTGAATGATGTTTTATTGGGAATTTCTGTCATATTTCTCTTTCCTTGCTTTGGCTGTCAGCATATGGCTTACTTGTAGAAGAGTTTGGTATTTGCTGATTCCTCCTCCCTTGCGAATAGAAATATTTCTTAAAAGTATGGAGAAGATAATTTTCACTGCACATATTGGCACAGGATAATCAGAGAAATCCAAAAATGTACTAAGTCTTGCTAGTTATTGTACATAACAGGTTTGCTCCAAAGATTCCAAAAGTCAGTGGAAAAAAGAAAAAAATTTAACACAGAAAGATGGAGTGACTGAAACAGTACGTAAAGTGAGCCTTCCCTACTCATGAAGAAGTTTCTCAAGTTTCCATGCTGAGTTTTCCTTTGTCTCCAAATAAATCAAATAATGATTTGTATTTTGCAACAGTGAGAAAGAGTATCTTTCAGAGCACCAAGAATATTTCCTTTGTTTAAAGATGAATTCTAAACCTAATCATTTTATGAACTAAAATAAAAATTTTCACTTTTGTGTATGTTGCGCTTGATGAAATTTGTGTTATAGCTTTTTGCTTCTTTCCTTTTCCATTAGGTTCTTGTTCATTCTCTTAGGTCCTAAGGGAAAAGCCAAGTCCTACCATGAGATCGGCAGAGCCATTGCTACCTTGATGTCTGATGAGGTAGGGAGTGGGAAGGTGGGGCTCTCTCAGTGTCCTCCTGTGCTGGTTTCCGGTTGGGGTCAGTGTATCCACAAATATACCATCATGGTTCACTCATTAGAATGGTGCAGTCATCAGGCTTTTTCATGACTCGAGGTACAGTTGTTAGTGGAAACACGTTGATACAACCCATGGAGCAGAGTTTTCAAAAGTAATGCATGCATAATGCGTAATGTATTAGATTTTAACTCAGTGTTGGAAGACAACACATAAACATATTTTCTTTTCCATTTCATCTGTGGTACTGAGCATTGAAACAAGGGAAAATGTTCTACCATTGAGATATCCCCAGTCTTACTTTTTCTAAACATTTTAAATTCTTTTCCAAACAAAATATTTTAAAATATAACCTATTTGCAAGTTAAAGTCTGATATTCTAATACATGCATACAGTTTGTGATGATCTGAGGCACAGCAGGTAAATATGGGTGAAACTAAGTGTATTCTTCAAGAAGAGTTTGACTGTTCCCAGCACTTAACACGCGTCTGAGGAGATGGGTGTGCGCTTACCTCGGTCAGATCTCCACCTATTTTCACTTCTTAAAACTGATGTATGTTAAATATTCTTTAAAAAGTTCAAGGTCATTGTCTTAACTTTATCTCTTAAAATGTTTAATATATTAATTCTTAGAATTGAAATGTCCATATAGTATATTATTTTGGAAATTATGTATTTTATATAATAATGCATAAATGCATGGATAGTGTATTGTTTTAGTCATAGAGAGTACATGTTCTTATGGTTTTCTTGTTTTGTGGGAAGGTATGATTAATATCTAAAGAGTTTCAGCAACTATTACTGCAGTTTCTAGTACTTTGGAATTATGATCTTTTTCTCGTAACAGCTGGGATGTTGCTATACGCATTTTAGGTTTAGTAAAGCTCTGAACTTGACTCATGGTAGGAGAAATATTGTTAAAGTATAGGGCCATTAATTTCTGCTTTTGTGTGTTTCTAACTTTCTATTTTCCAAAGTGTTTTGCTTTTCCAAAATTGCTTGATTTGTTGGTTTTCCACATGCTAGGTGGAGAAACGGCGCTTTTCTCTGTAAGGGCTTTGTGTGGTGATAACACAGGTGGTTGCTTTCTTCTGGGTTTGAGAACTTTGTAGTATAGTTTTGCTGTTACTTTTCCCTTGAAGGAACACTGTGCCCTGGGCATAGTGAATTCATTTATTTATTTTTTGTGTGTTTATAGTTTCTTTCTTTTTAAAATTCTTCTTCTCAAGATGCATTAACTAGGAACACTTTAGGTTGCAACTTATAGGTGTATAGTGGCTTAAACAGTTTGGATGTAAGTTTTCTCATGTAACACAAAGTCAGGAGGTAGATAGTTGCTGAGGTTGATGTAACTTAACTGCTTAGAGATCAGTTGAGAGCTAAAGTTCTTCTTAAAAGGGCATGGCATTTCATCCCGTCAGTACTGTAAAGCATCTGCCCTCAGCAACTCATTCCATCTCTATTCAACAGGGGAAAAAAGGGTAGAGTGACGTGAGGAATGGTGCCTCTTTCTTTTTTAACCAGGTATTCTAAAACTTTCCCAAACAGCCTTTCTTCTCTCTTGCAGTGAAGTGGCTGGAACTGTCAGTCTTTCTCTGCAGGGCTGTCTGGGAAAGTGAGTGTGTGCCTCCCAGCCTCTGAGTGGGGATTGTAGGAGAACATGGAGTCGAGGCTGTCGGTGTCTGCCACACAGGATGGGCCGGCACCTTTTGTTGCCCTCTGCCAACCCCACAGTCACCAACCATTAAATTGTTATTTGATTGATAGCTTTTGAAAAATACCTTTCTAGAAGAGATTTAGTAGAAATCTTTTCAAGTAGGTAAGGGTGTGGAACAGGGTCATCTCTTCTGGTTCTAAATAATTTGATTTATGAAGTATGAAAACTTTGGGTTATGTGTGAAGAACGTTCAGATCATCAGCTTGGATAGAAGAATGGAACAGTTGACAAAAAGGATGCTGTACCTTTTGGAAATTACTTCTTTGGAGTTTGCTGCTTTGGATAGTTTAGCCTTTACCTTGGTAAAGAGAGACAAATGATCATTACAAAAGTAGATTCTTTTGCTTTGAGGGTTGCTGATATAACTCAATTTTTTCTTTCTTTCCTTTTTTTTTAGTAGCTCACATTATTTAGGTGCTTGAGAACCAAAGTATCTGAATTTTAACCTGATCTTAATACTCAGCTTGAACTTTTCCTTCTTGAATTATCAGCAGTTGTTTGCCCCAGTAGTTTTATGTCGGGAGATGACTCTTCATTGTATTTCTCAACACTATTTTCATCTGACTCCTTAGCAACTCTGTCAGGAGTAGTATCAAGGGATTAGTACTGAAAGGCATGTTACTTTATAGTATTGATAAGGAAGAAAACCCATTTAAAATAGCTACTTCCTTATCCTCACCTGTATTCTTTGAGATCATTGTATGAATACCTGGAATAGGTTGGGAGGGTAGGTAGCTCAGTGGTAGAACACTTGGTTAGCACGCATGAGGCACTGATCTTCAGCCCCACAAGAAAATAAAAATTAAAAATGAATAAGTATTTTGAAACAAGCTGAACAACACAGAATATAAGAACAGGATGACAATCATGTCTATGTGTTGTGGATTGTGCTTGTCAGCTTGATGTGGTGAGAGGCAAGGTGACACTTCCCTTGTGGGTTCAACACATCCTTACTTCTCCATAGGTTTTCCATGACATCGCTTATAAAGCAAAAGACAGGCATGACCTGATTGCTGGGATTGATGAGTTTCTGGATGAAGTCATTGTCCTTCCCCCCGGGGAATGGGACCCAGCCATCAGGATAGAGCCGCCTAAGAGTCTTCCCTCCTCTGACAAAAGGTAAGTGGTAGGCATCTGGGTGCCTTAAGATGCTAGGGTACCCCAGGGGCTGCATTTGTATCTGGGAAGGAAAGTGGGGTCAAGCTGCTGCCCTGATGTTTTTAGGTCCCCATGGAGGTATTGATTCATGGGCACCATTTACAGGTCATGGTTTCACAGTTCCTTGACACTGTAAAATAAATGTTTAATGTTTTGATTTTCTTCAGTGATTATAAATTAGAGAACTCAGATTCTGATATTTGCATGTATGACAGACATTTGTGAGGGTGTTTTGGGGGCTTCCTGTACATGTGGAAAGATCAGTTTATTCAAGATGAGTCTGTAAAGATATGAGATGTTGAGAAATTGGATGAGATAGTTGAGGAGAAACCATTTTCTGGAAATCTCTTATTGCCCAGGTGAGAGTTTCCCTCTTACATACTTAATTCAACGTGTCTCTTCATCTGATCCTTGGTCTTGGTTTCAAATGTGATACTTTCAGAATTGTCTGTTGGGGTAGCAGGAAGAACTAATGATCTGTCCATCAGAAGGTTTTCATGGTGCCTTACCATTAGCCTGCACATGAGTCAGTTGGGAAGCAAATGAGTCAAGTAAACTAATCTCCACTTGGGCTCTGTTGTCTTGCTCAGAAAGAATATGTACTCAGGTGGGGACAATGTTCAGATGAACGGGGACACACCCCATGATGGTGGACACGGAGGAGGAGGCCACGGGGATTGTGAAGAGCTGCAGCGGACTGGAAGGTAACTGATGGGTCCTTTTGCCATTCATGAGAAGGTTTTCTTTAGATTTAAATTTCCTTTCACCTTTCTAAGTTTACCTTCCTCATTTTATTCATTGCTTTGTTCATTTGTTCAGGCAACAGATATTTATAGTGTGCCTATTTGTCATAGGCATTGGGGATAGCAGTGAATCAAAAGCGATGGTCTTATGAGAAAAAATAGGGCAGAACTAGGGACTCTCACCCTGGGAGTATGGTACTGCAAGTTCAGATGGGATGGGGAGAGGAGGCCTAACTTGGAGGAAGGTGCTGCAGGGCAGCAGAAGAACTGTGCAGGATGGGGCAGGGAGGGCACTGCATAGAGTGCCTGTGGGCTGGCAGCAGGCAGTGTAGCAGGTGGGGTAATGAGGTGTCACACTGGTGGAAATGAGTGTGCAGGGAGGGGGACTGGCTGGTGACATGTAACCTGTCCCATGTAGCTTCCACCTCAGCCTTGTACGTTTACTCCAGAGTGAGGCAGGTAGTAGAAGGTGGGAGCAGTTCTCAGTAGAAGGGTATATAAACATCCTTCGCTTGCAGTGGGAATCCGGGCATCCTGGAAGGCTGCAGCTCCTTTCCTTTCCCGATTCTCTACTCTCAGGTTCTCCATGTCACTTTGGGTTAAGTAAAATACCAAAGATAAGACTCTTGGAAAAAACATATTGGGATTTTAAAAAATCAAAACAGTGTGTCTTTTTAGTATGCTGATTAAGTCTAAAAAGATGAAATTATTTCTTCTCTTAATGACTCATGGATTTCTCTCCTAAATTAAGAGGAAATTGTTTTCTTCCCTTTGTTCTTAGAGGATGAAAAACACAAAACTTTCTCTCCACCTGCCCCCTTTCCTGATGACACTATTGAGTGGTGGGGATGTAGTCTGAGAATTGTGTTGCTAAGTGATTTTGTCATTGTGCACATACCATGGAGTGCACTTAGACAGATTGGAGTGGTGTGAGCCTGTCCCTTGATGGGACCTCTCGATGCAATAAAAAATCAAGTTTAGAAACAAAATGTGTGAGGCTGGTGCCACTGTAACATGGTGCACTGTCTTATGATGCACTTCTGTAAGTAGGAGTACACCCTCCAGTACAGATAAAGGTGACCCTATGGACTGCCCTTGTCCTGGAGGGGAGCATTCTGGGCAGAAGCCTTGGCATGCGTGAGAAGGCTGAGCTGCAAGGTTTGTTTGGAGGGACATAGGCTGCTACAGTAGCCAGCCCACCTGCCCACCTGCAGTGGGCTTGGCTGACCTCCTCCCATCACACATCTGCATGCCTGCCTCCCTGGGCTCCTGCACATCTCTACCCCAGAGTCACCTTCTAAGGGGCCTACTCTGTCACCACATCTGAAACTCCAAATATCCCTTTCCCATTTAATTTTGTCCTGATTTTGGCACTATGCATTTTACTTATTTAACTTGTCTGTTATCTTTCCCATGTCCCCCAAAAGCAAACTCTACACGTGCAGGGCTTTTGGTGCAGTATGTTCACTGGAATCATAACAGCACCATGGTGTGGGTCTGTCAGAAATGCTCAGTGAGCATTTGTAGGATGGATGGAAGGATAGATGGATGGTTGGGGTAGAAAGGACACTGTGGCAGGATTACGAAGTATCTCCTATGATCTGCTCACATATTGAGATGTTTTCCATTAGGTAATGAAAAATTTTGGTTTATTCACATAGTTTCCTCTCATCTAAAAACTAACTGGATGATCTTTAGGAAATATGACACCTATTTGGTGATTGAAAAAGAGAGAAGAAAATTTATTTCTGTGCAGTTTTTTTGTCTCATCTTAAGTGGTTAAATTGTATCTTGTCATTGTCTCAAGAATTATAAGTACAAATTATTTGTGGTTTGGTGAATTATCTCTTGATGCATTTGGTGGTCATTTATTTTAAATTTGCTCATATGTTTGCTTTCTCCCTGTTCAGGTTCTGTGGTGGATTAATTAAGGACATAAAAAGGAAAGCACCATTTTTTGCCAGTGATTTTTATGATGCTTTAAATATTCAGGCTCTTTCAGCAATTCTCTTCATCTATCTGGCGACTGTGACTAATGCCATCACTTTTGGAGGGCTGCTCGGGGATGCCACCGACAACATGCAGGTGGGTCTGCTGGGAGGATGCAAATAGCACAGCCCAGATTGCCGCCCTCAGCCCTGCAGCTCCATTGGAAGCAGGTGGCCTTTCAGTTACTCAGTGTGATTTTCTTTCTTTTGGTGGATGCTGCATTTTACTTTGCTTCTGGCTTGGCACTGTATTTCTAGCATGTTAGTAATTATAGAAATAGCTCGATGAAATCTGGCTTGAGTCACAAGTAGGGAAAAGAAGGGAAGGAAATGAGGATCCAGAATGCTATTTGGGCAAAAGCATATCAGCTGCTTTACTTTGGTGCAGTGCACAAAGTTTAGATCTTCTGCTACCCTGAAAGTATAGAGCATGTTCAGTGGAACTTGATCACACTCTGTTTGGGAATACATATGTGATTACCTTCCTTACTCTTTTGTTTTTATATGAGCAAATAGAGTCATCAAACAATAGATAAATTTGCTCCCAATAGAATTCAGTGAGTTGTTTCTTCTCTACTTGGACCTGTCTCTCATTAAGCTGTAAAGATTCTGACACGGCTAATTTTGAACCATTAATTGTAACCACAATTTGTTGTTTGCTTTGAAGGTAGTGTTTGCCTTCCTTTTGCATGGATAATAGGTGCAGTTTTAGCAAAAGAAAAGATGTTTTAAATTCTTCTAATCAATCAGAACAATATTTACAAAACTACATTAGTCTTTAAAAAATAGATATTGCACTAGAGACTAAGCTCAATTTAAGCCCTTTTTAAATTGTCTCCTTCCACTTTACTATATATAGTGTTTTACCAATGTGACATTTGTAAATGCTACCAGCCAGTTTTTTAATGCAACTAATTTTAAAAATTACTTTTCTGTCATTCCTCTTTTCTCCCCATCTATGTTCTAGATTTCTTTCTGAATAAAAAAAGAAGATGGGGGCTATCTATACATTTATGTTATCCCAAATACAAAGGAGAAATTACCCCATTACTATGTTTGAGTTTAAAATGCCTTGTCTATGAGCTTTGGTGCATACACTGTTGTCCTCAAACTTAGAGCTCTAGACAACTATTTTATATCATCTTTCATGTGTCCCATGGCTGATGGGCTCAGCTGAATTGTTCTTTCTTTGGTTCCTCATATGCTTTATAGTCAAATGGCCTCAGACCTCATTGTCACCTGGTGGCTTTTGGCTTCTATGTGTGTCCCTGGGCTGGGAAGTCTGGCACCTGGAGTCTGGGGACTCTGCACAGCTTCCCACATGGCTGGCCTGGGTTTCCTTGCAGTGTGGGGACCATAACAACTCTCCAGAACTTACACTCTCCTGAAAGAGGCACTTGCCATTCATCTCAGCTTGTTCTCATGTGAATGTCCCTAATATTGCTTCACTTTCTGATTTTCAAAGAGAGGCTGGAAATTCAAATTCTCAGTGATGTCTTGTGAATTTTAAGTATTTACAACAATTAATGTTTTGAAAATAATACTGTGGTAGCCAAAGCACAGGTATCTGTGTTATCCATGGGAGACCAGCAGCGAGGGTCCTAGAGACCAAGTATGTGGATGCAGAGATGAAGTACAGAGAGAGACCACTGCCACCCTCTCTCCCTTCCTGCTAATTCCCAAGACAGGAATGGATGACTTGTCCTGTAATGTCAGTAGTAGCATTTCAGAAGCTCAGATCCATGCCCATGTTGGGCAGGTCTTCTTCATCTGGATGGCCATATAATGATCACTAACATACATCGTTCAAGTAAACAAGCAAGTGCCCCAGGCCAGCATGCAGAAGATGACACAGGCAGCCACCTGTTTGAAGGTAAAAATCTGTGATTTTGAGAGAGTGGTGAGAATAAAGCTATCTTCTGTCTATCAGAATGTACAGAGAACTTCTTGTGCAGATGATTTTTAACATTTTTCAGGGATGTCTTCACAGAGGTGAGGATATTATGGCACTCTCCTGTGTGTGAGCTTGTTCCCTTTTTGAGCTGAATTGTGATGCTTGCACCCTCCTAAGATGGGTTTTGGAGTGTAGCATCTGAGACAGGGAGCAGAGTGCTGGAATCTGCTCTCATCTCTGCATGGGAATCAATTCTCATATGACCAAGTCTTAGGAAAAAGTTTGCTGTGTTACATGTAGTCAGTGGGCTGTTGCCTCTGAGATGCTTGACCTGGAAACGGCTGTGCCAGTAGGAATAGCTATTTTCTGGTATTGAAGATTTTCAAAGAAACATAAATGGTTTGGTGTCTCAGGACATTAAGTAGTGAACTAAATAACCATTTTCTGGGTATTACTCTTGGGAGTTGACAACTCAAAGAGATGCAAACCTATGATAATATTTTCCAGCCATAATTTATTTTATCAATGGATTTTGCCATTGATAATTTTGTTAAAACTATGAACATGTTGTTTTAAAGTTGTTTGTGAATGAAAATACTGAAGAACATTTTTTTTTCTTCCACATCAGAAGCCTTTTTTTTCATTAAGAACTATCTTATTTACATCCTCCTTCTTGACTCTGATGTAGTTCTTCTAGCAGTCACAGTGGGTGGCAGAAATACTTGAAAAGAAGGATAAAAAATGAATGATTGTTAGCACGTTTTTGTAGAACAGAAATTCAACAACTAGTTTTACTGACATGGTTTAATTTGTTCAGGAGTATCTTATGATCAAAAAGTTGTGCACTTTACTGTACAAAATTTTTTTGTGCCAAGGTAGTTGAGGTCTTCAGGACTTTGCTTCAGGACAATAGAGTATTTTATGCTGAGGCCTAGGTCATTTCAAAGGTCTCCGGAAGAGGTTAATTGTACCTTTGCAAATATTTATGGAGCATCTTCTATATTCTAGGCATTGTTTTAAGTGTTGAGGGTACACAGATAGGGGAGCAAAATAGATAAGAATCCCATTGTAGTGGTTTCTATAGTTTAAGATGAAAGTGATTTTTTTACCCCCCCCCATACCAGTGGGTGCAGTCGGTCTATTTAGGAGGTGAAGTCCCCCAATTTCATTTGGCTTTCTATACACTAGACTAAGACTAAGCAGAAAAGCATTGGAAAAGCTTGAAATAGTCTTCAGCTACATCACATGCCTTCAGAAATGAGGCAGTGGGTTATCTGCTCAGCATAGGCAGCTCTAGCAAATCAACTGAGAAGAGTGTACTTGCTTTTAAAGGCAGATGGCTAAGAGATGGTTCACATAAGGCCTTATTGTCAGGCTACAAATAGACATGGGTGCTGGGTGGAAACATGTTGTGCAAACACAGATGAGTCACTGCATGACTGTTGTCTAAGCAAACTCTTCTGCCAGCTTCTGTTCAGGAGGTCTTGTCTGCTTGAAGACAGGAATTTATATTTAAGCATTTATTTCGGAGCTAATAGCCAATGAGATGCACATCATTAGAAGCAGGTGATCCTGGAAACTATGTAGAAACTATATGCAAAATAAAACAGTTGGGGCTTTGATGGCTCTAAGTATAATGAAATTATAGTGCCAACATAAACTTCTGCATGAATCCCTCACTTTAGCATGTTTATTTTGCCCATCAGGTAGCTCTGAGAGGACTGTGGGGCTTCCCGGCTGGGCATTCACAAATGTCTTGCTAAGTGTGAGCAATTATAGTTATGTTTGGGCTCGTGGGAGTAATGAACCACTTTGGCAAGAGTCAGTCTCTGTTCAACTAAGATACAACCCCAGCTTGAGTCTACTCCCTCTTCTTAGAGCTTAGCAATAGGGATCTAGCACATATGCTTTCTAAGTCCAAGAATAGTGCAACACCCTTATCCATTTTAGCAAATAGCACCAACACTGCTCTGGTCTTCTTGCTGTAGTGTCAAGGAAAGAAAAGCTTTGCAGCTCGCCATTCCAATATCATATCTCTTCTACAACTAAGCTCTCTATAACCTGATATGACATTGCATTACAGTGTATTTATATTCTTGGTTGCCAAGCAAGTATACTGCTCTATTCATTTAGGTGTTTCTAATTATTAAATGTCAATATATGAATATATTCCACCTGGATTTATTACAGTTATGGATTTTTCATTCAAAATATCATCTGAGCAGAGCCTTGAATCAAACCAAATCAACACATATTTATGAATTGATGAATCTCTGGGACTGATACTGGTGTCAGAAATACTTTTGGATACTCTGTAGCAGGTCATAGTATTTCAAAACTGTTCTTCTTAGCTTTTTAGAATATAGACAAGCATTTTAATTTAAATTTACATTTGATTGTGAATGACTAAGCACAGTGTAGAGTGAAGACTGAGTGGAGAAAGTAATTTTAATTTTTTCCAGGAGTAAATATAATCCTATTTTCACAAAGCTTTTAGCAAAAGGATGCGGTAAGATTTTTAGAATTCTGTGAATTTTGTGATATTTATGGAGTCCAACAGAGCACATTTTAAGGGAACTTGTCTCATTATAAGGAACATTTATAGCTGGCATCTCCAAATTTGAGGGTTTATTTTAACATACTGCTGGGCTGAGAATTTTTAATCAATCTGCTTGAGTTGGAAATGTATCATTTCTTATGCACATATAATATTCCTCAATACCATAAACACTTCTTTACAAAGACTTTACAACTTACAACAGCAAAATTAAAGCAAATTGATAATTATTTTATGGTATTGAGAATGTGCAATAATTTCACTTTACCTAAGGGTTCCACTTCAGCACCAAAATGCATTTCCTTTTTGAAATGGCTGTAAAAGTGACATGTTAATCTGTGCTAGCAGCATAGTCTAGTTTGAAAAAGTTAGGTAGGGGTAGTCCTGGGAATAATACATTTGGTTATTTTGGGCAGCAAAAATAAGCCTATTTAGTGACGAAGAAAGGATTCTCCATTGCTTAGTTGTCATTAAGGGCTTATTGGCTGTTGCTTCTTTGAGAAAGAAACTTTAAATAACGTACCTTCTAAGTTCTGAATTAAATTTTCTTGACTGAAGTTAAATGATTTGTATTTTGTTTTCCTGTTTTGTTTTTTTTATTTGAAAGACCTTTGTCAACCCTTTTTTTTGGGTGATCAGAAAATGATAGGGATTTGGGCAGCATTTGAGTCCCAAATGATGCTAAAATTGAATATTTTTTTGGCTTCTAGCTATTTTGAAAACAGCTTTCTTTTTATAAAATAAGTTATAATTATGCATTGTAGAATATTGAAACAATATAGAAAAGTATATAGAAGGTAATTTTGCCCTACACCCATCACTCAGAATAATCAACATTCTCGTGGCCTCCTGTCATTCATGTTGCAATGTATTGTACATAGATCAGTATAGAAATAGGGCAGTATAGAAATTAGGTCATATACATGCTATTTCATCACATCAGTATTCCCTATAATCTTTGCAAAAACCAGATTTTACCCTTTTCACGTTTGTCACTCCTGTGCGTTAAAAAAGAATAGCTCGTTCTTACTCAGTTTAACTTTCTTTGCTGTTTAGTGAGAGTGATAATCTTCCCACATTCTTGTTGACTGTCAGTGCCTTCCTTATACTTGGATCCTTGATATAGTTTGCTTTTGAGACATTTAGTTTTTTTCTCATTGACTCATAAGAACTCTGTATAATAAGGATATTTTCTCTTTTTAGAAATATTATATAATATATTTTTCTAGAGCTACTATATAACTTTTAACATTCTTTATGGTTTCTTTTGCTGTACAGATTTAAAGTTTTGTGTAGTCGAAATTTTTTATTCTTTTTTATGATAAGTTTAAAGAGGCCTTTCCTACCTCAAGATTAGAAAAATATTTACCCACATATTTTAGTTCTTTTATGTTTTCACTTAAATGTTTTATCCATCTGGAAATGATTTTTGTGTAAGGTTATACTGGCATTTGGTGTTTCAGATTCATGTTCACAGCTCTTCAAACAAAAAGTATAAGGCCTCATGTCTTTCTCATCCTTATTAGATAGAAGTCAAAGCTCTTTTGGTGAAGTTTAGGGCTCATATTTTTCTTCAGGAAGAGAGATAATGTATTTTTCATCTTCCCCTGTTTTTAGTTCCTGCTGGTAACATAAACAAAGATCCTTCCTCTAACAACAGAGCACACTGGGTAGAGGAGGTGGCAAGAGGGCTTGGTGATTGATCTCCCAAGACAGAAATCCATGATATTTATTTGGGCTGCAAGTACTCTGGTGAAATAAAAACTGAGGGATGTGTATCTCTTCCCAGTGTGGGTGAATGTCCTGTGAACTGATTGTGAATACTATTTGGAAGGAGGGGGGTTGTTTGAATTGATGAATCTCAAATTTGGGCCACAGGAGAATCACCCGGAGAACTTTGAAACTCTTTCTCTAGGCCTTATATTCAGAGATCCTGATTTCATGTTCAAGGTGAAGATAAGGAATCAGTATTTTTTTTTTAACGCTTCCAAGGTAATTCTCAGGAGACCTGAATTTGATTTAGATACTTGCATCTCTTCTCTATTTTTGTTTGATCATGTGGACCAGTGCATGCTGGGGACCTGACATTGAAACTCATGCAGGTTTTTCAGATTCAATTGTCTGTTTCCAGTGACATTGGGCTGCTCATTTTTCCTGGCTAACCTTCAGAATCAAAGACTCATCCAAAGAAATTTAATTGTATTATTCCACATACTGCACAGTTCATATAAATCACCACAAACATGAGCTAAAATTTCTTTGTTTATGTTTAGAAACAAAAAATATTTTAAGCCTGAACTACCAGTAATGTTAGCGAATGCTTTATCAATTAAGGCTAATGAAATATTTTATCTTCCAAATTTTACTGGGTTGCAGACTATCAGGTAAATAGGAAATCTCTTGTTTTCTTATGCAGCTCTACCACTTTCCTCCTTAGCCTTTACTTTTTTACATTATTGCCACTCAGCCTCCCTAAACAGGATTGCAACTATTCCTGCAGATATTAAGGTCCTTAATAAAAAGGACATAAAACAATAAAAACCATTCTTTAGTGTTATATTAAGATACTAAATTGCAGTGAAGTTGAAATTGACAGCATACTTTTCTTTTTCTTCTTTTTTTTTTTTGGTATCGGTGATCAAACTTGGGTCCTTGCACTTGTGCAGCAGGCAGCGAAACCACTGAGCTAAATCCCCAGCCCGACAGCATACTTTTCTAATTTTTAATGTTTATTCTCTTAAATGTGTTTGTTTGCCTTAGCCGTGACAGGAAATGGTCTCCTTTAAGTCTTGGCTGTAGTAGCTCAATGCATGAAATGTTATTACAAATCATGGTTAGATTTTATATGTTTAGAATCTTTGCTCATATGGTTTAATTTCTTTTACTTTTGATTATACTATTTTGGGACTTGTCCTAATTTCCTTGGCTGTAGTGAAAGACAGAGGCCATCTCTGGCTTACTGTCATATTCTCACGCAAGCAGAAAAGTAATCACAAGTTGTTTTAGATGTGGATTTTGACTTTACTGCTGTAAAAGAAGACACACTACTTGTTAGGGCTGGCTTTAATGAAAGAAGCAACTTTCAGTGGCAGTAGTGGGATCCCCACCCCCAACCCAGCTTGTTTTGATTTAGAATTTGCCCTAGGAAGTACAACTGAGCACAAAGGGCACCCCCCCCGCCCCCCCACACCTGGAGAACTAATTGTCATCTTTTCTTTTCATGTCACTCTTTTTGACTTTCCATCTTTTTCCTCTCTTGAAGGAAAGAAAAATAATAGAAACAGGCTGGGTGGAAGGAATGGGAGGCAGCAAGGGAAAGGAAACAAACATTATATTGTATCTCTGCTTTGTACTGCACTTTATTCTGAGATTTTTATATGTTATTATTTTATTTAGTCCAAATATCTTCTGAGCTAGTCACTGATTTCACAGAAGAGAGAATTAGGATTTGGAGAGGTAAGTGGTGGAACTAAAATTTTAACTCAGATACCTATAACTCCAAGACACACCCCTTGTGCTAAGCTCCCTAGGAGAGATCTTAGAGACCATCTCTTCTACTTCTTCCTCTTCTATCTAAATGGGTACATTGTGTATGTGGTTACTGTTGTCCCAGAAGGTTTCATCCATCAGAGACTGTGCTGAGCGCCTTCCATACATCATCTGATTTAACTTGTGTCCTAACCTCAGGTATAGAGAGATGAAGTAGTTTAAAGTCTTTGAGGGAGGAAATGATATGGTCTGGATGTCAGTGTGGGGCTGTCTGACTGGAGCCTCCATTGCTTTCCTGTATCATCTCAATTTTTTTAATCTTGCATTAAGAAACTAAAATCAACAGAGGCAAAGAGATATTATAAGATCACCAGCTCTTTGGTGGCTGAGCAGTCCAGGTTTCGGGTTTTCTGGCAGCCAGTTGTTTGCCCCTTCTGCCCATCCACAGTTGGTGTCATCTGTTTGAATAAGATGAAGCCTAACCAGAATGGCCCAGAGCACTTTGTGGCCCCTGATCTGCCACAGCTCAGAGCTCAGCCATCTGCACTCTCAGAAATTGCTGTTGAGTTTGAGTTCATTCCTCTGAGAAGTAAGCTATAGATAGGTCTTCATGACTTGCGGCCACACCTACTTAAAGACAGATACACAGTGTTTTTCTTTAAAAAATGTATCAGCAAACACTGAATATAGTAAATCAGAAAAGAGATTTCTGATAGTTCACTTTGTAATTTGCTTTCAACTCTAGTTACAGTTATTCATTATGTTAGATTATTTTTAAAATTTCTGTATTGTGAAGAAGAACATGTCAAAATGTGAAAATAGTTCTTTCCTCAGATATGCTGGAAGCATCTCTGAGTTTGAGCAAGCTTCCAGAGCAATGTGTATAATAAATCACCTGTCTCTGTTTCAAAATTATCAGTCACAGAATGGAATCTGTAGCACTTACCAAAGGACAAAGTACTGAAGTAAAAATAGTCTACCTTTGAATGTCAGGAGACTTTTATGAACCAAAGCCATTTTCTGGAAAAATTATTTGCTATTATTCCTGAATGAGCAGCAGTGGTTGTTGGCCTTTGTTAACTGGATCTAGGATGTCACTTGAGAATGGCTTCTCCAGGTCCTAGCATTTCCTGAGTACCTGCGGAGGATGTGGAGGGGAGGTAATAGCATGATGAAAGGAGAAGAAACATGGAAGATGCTGGGAGATCCTGTTCTTGCCCCTACAGTGGTAAATAGCTATGTCAAGTTGAGAATCCTAAATTCCATATTCCTCCTTTCTTCCTTATGTCCAATCTGAGCAATGTTTCGATCTTGCAGTAATGATGAAAAATAGGCATTCCTCTGAGCCTGATGAAGAATGATGCAGTCTTTCTTCATCTACCATGTGAAGCTAGGGTGTGGCTTTTCCTGCCACCTGGAGCTTTCAAGTGCTTAATCCTTCATATATGTTGTAAAAAAACACTATAAAGGTATGAAAAGTCTATTGTATGTGCATAGGAGGTAAAAAGCTGCATGACTGAGACAGTTGGAGCCAGAGACACAGCTTTACCCTCGCCAAGGACAAGGTGTGACTGGGCAGGTGTATGAGCCAGAGTCCTTGTGCCATGTGGGGTGTTCATATCATCTGATCCCCTGAACCTCAATTTCGAAGCACTTAGCAAATCAAGACAAGTGCTATTTGGGGGGACAAGGAAATCTTTTGCTGTGTTTTCTGGGTAAATGCATCTTGCTATTCTGATTCTGTTCCTCTATAAAAGAATGAGGCAGAATGGCTTTGAATAGTGCGATGACCCCTCAGTCATGCTCTGAAACTCACATCTACATAAGTGGAGGCCTTGCCAGTCCCTCCTGGCAGATTTCATGCCTGGACATCTCCATGAACTGTCAGAGTGGACTCACTAACCATTTGAGAAGCCAGTCTTACCCTGTGGCAGCTCTTGGGCCTCCCCATCACCACCCCAACTTCATTATTTTCTAGTGCTACTCTAAGGGGTATCACCTGCTTTCTGAACCAAACTCTGACCTTAATAGGACTTGCTGCTGCCAGTGTCACTCTCAGGAGAATGTGTGTAGCTCTGAAGTAGTATAAAAATATTTTGAGTAATCATTGCAGTGAGAACCTCCAAGCATGGCTTTTGAACGGAGAAGGGAGTTAGTATTAGTAAGTTCCCTATGTTGATCATTAAAACCAATTTCTTCCTAAACATTTCCTATGAATTAAATTTTCTCTAAAATGGTAAGTGGATGAAAAGTTGCTAGAGAATTTTTGGGGCAGTGGAAAGAGGCAGTGCAGTGAGGCTGGCAGGCCAACAGGCTGCTTTTTGGAGTTAAAAACCCAGACAATAACTGAGGAGACCTCAGATTTTCCAGAAGTCTACTTGCCCCAGTGTAGGCTGGGGTTGTGTAGACTATGAGGTGGTTTTATGTAATGTAGGCCATATTTTTAAGAACAGCTACTTTATTGTTGAATTGATGAGGGAAACTTTCCTATAATATTTAAATATACATGGCATTACAGACATCACATAATTTTGCTGCACTAGGTAAATTAATCTATATTTTATTATTTATATATTTATATTACCATACCCTTTAAATCTATAGAATTTATTCATTCACTTGAAAAATACTTGGTCTTACAAATTTTACTGTTCAGATCTATGGTTTATGTATGAATAAATGGTCTCTGTCATCTCTTTACAATTAAAAACTCTCCCTTGAGAAAATATAGTAATTAAAAAGGCCAGTCTGCAAATACACCAAATACACATGTGCTTTTCTAGCTGATATTTGAAATAGTGAAAAGTATAGGAAACAAATTAGTTTGCTATCATCAAAACCATTAGTACTGAATGATGTAATTAAGAAAGTTAGGGCCAAACCTGGTATGGTGGTGGATGCCCTTGATCCAGCTTCTGGGGAGGCTGATGTAGGAAGATCTCAAGCTCAAGGCTAGCCCCAGCAACTTAGGGAAACTTGACCTCAAAATAAAAATTTAAAAAAAGAAAAAATAAAGGGCGTGGGGATGTAGCTCCATACTAGAGCACTGCATAATATGTAGCAGGGCCCCAGGTTCAATCCCCAGTGCAAAAGGCAAAAAAGAAAATATAATAGGTTAAGGTCAGTTTGGAACATGTGTTACATATGTCTCATGACATGTGTTTCTTTGTTTTGCTGTACAAAAGGAAATGACAGATTAATTTCCAGAGATATAACTCCAAGGTGTTGTGGCCACAAAGGTTTAACTGTTCATATCTGTACATTTATTTCTTTTAGAGATCAGTTAATTAAAGCTTTTGTATAAGTTTACATTGAACATCATGTATGTAGTGAGTTTTTTTTTTTTGAAATTGATACCACAGAAATTGGCAGGATAGAATGTAAATCATTTTCTTGCTCCGCTTTCCTCCCCTTTCCATTATGAAATACCTTTCTGTGTTTCCATTCGTACAGTGTGAAATTGGGATGACACAAACACTGAAGGTGACTACAAGAGAAAAATGTACCTGAAGTACCAAGTCAGTTCCACCCATTTGGTGGGATTATATAATGTGGTTTTATTGATATTACCTGCAACTCATTTTTCAGTTTTTATTTTTATTAGTCCATATTTGCGTTATGTAATGATCACATTCCTTGTGTGCAGTTGGTGCGTGTACATAACACATCTCAATTCCATTTTTCATCCCTTTCTCCCCCCATCTCTTGATCTTCCTTTTTGAGAAAGGCCTGTCTTCCTACTTCCTATTATCTTTTATTTTGCTCTTTGTTTATAATTTGGGTTTCTGATGTGAGAGAAAGTATACAATATTTAAGCTTATGTGTCTGATTTATTTCACTTAACATTATGGTCTCAAGGCGCATCCATTTCCATACAGATGATTCAAATTTATCCTTCCTTATGGCAAAGTTAATTTTACTAAAGATCAAAGCCATCTTTTGCCTTCTACTTATCAATTGTTACAGTTGTTACAATTCATAGGAATAGCCAACCTGTGGGACGGAGAGAAAGCACTAGTTTTAAGCTGACATAAGTGGCAGAGTGTTCCTACTATTCACTCTTGAAGTGTTTGCTGGGGACCTCATCGTAATATACTCATGCAGCTTCTTTTCCTGCTGACATAGCACAGGAGAAGAAAAAAGATGTGTTTCATTTAACACTTGTATTTTCTGTCTTTTAGGGCGTGTTGGAGAGCTTCCTGGGCACTGCTGTCTCTGGAGCTGTCTTTTGCCTTTTTGCTGGTCAACCACTCACTATTTTGAGCAGCACAGGACCTGTCTTAGTTTTTGAGAGGCTTCTATTTAATTTCAGCAAGTATGTGTGTATATCTATATATCTATATTTTTTATATATATATATACCTAATTCTAAACTAGAATTGTTTAACTGTAAACATTTATAGTCCAAGTAAAGCACTGAATAATAACTAGGTAGATGCAAGAATCAGTCAGAAAGCTGGAATGTTTAAGATTTCAAAATAAAAGGAACCTTAAAAATTATGTAGTCCAGATTCATTTTACATTTGATTCAACTGAGGCTCATCTGTTGTGTTTTATACTTGCTCTTTCGATTATTCTCTTTTCATATGCTTTGTGCCCCAGGGAGCTGACCCCTGAGGACCACCACCCCCAGCCCGTTTGCTCTCTGGCTCCTTTGAGTTTGGCCAATGGGGAGCTGCAGCAGGACAGGAAGGGAGCAAGAGGCCTAGTGTGTCCCCCTCTTTCTCCCTGTTCTCTGCTTTCGCACAGCAGTGTGGTGGTGGCTTATCCCCTAGGACTTCTGCCCCTGTCAGGTGGCCCTCTCCCTGCTCTAGGCTCTGGTGACTCCATAACTTCCTTGGACTTTTTCAGATCTGGAGTGAATGATGGCTTCTTGCCATTACTGGCCCTGCAGTACCACACTTTCCTTTGTAAATGGCCCATTCACTGAGTTTTCCTTAGAATCCCATGTGAACATGCCATTTCCTGCCATAACCCTAACTGGTAGACTACTAAAGAGATGACGCTGGTTTAAAGTCACTTGTTCAGTAATGAAAAAGACAAGATTTTCTTTACCTGTCCAATGGTCCCCAGCACCAGTTCCAGGACTCTTCGCTCAGCACAGCTCTCAGGGCTCGGCTGAACCCTAACTGACATTTACTGAGCGAGCATCATCCTAGCACTTTACATATGCTAACCCAATTAATTCATGTAGCAGTTCTGTGAGGCAGGGACTGTATCTTGTTTTATAGGTGGAAAGGCAGGCACTGAGTAAGCAGTTAAATTGCCAAGTGTTCCATCATCAGTGGAGGGTGGGGCTGGGATTGGAATTCCTGCCTTCTGGTTCCAGAGCTCAGGCCTGTAAAGGAGTTATGAGATGCTGCTAGTCAGCATGACAATAACAACATCACTGTTTTCTTTTAGAAATTGATGGGTCATTCCAAGAAGGGGAATGTTGAGTTATGTAAGTGGCCATTTTAACACACAACAGATTCAAAATAAAATTTGGTATTCTGGTCTCTTTCTATTATACTTGATATTGCTAAGAAAGAATTACTTTTAGTAGCAGATCTCAATCCTTAGATTGTAGAATTTCATAAGCCTTGCTAGCACTTCTTGTTCGATGACCATGTTCTGATATTGGACATTTTAAGAAATTAATTTTAGAATACTGTTTACCTACGTAGTACCTCCTGGATTTAAGGACTCACATAGAGCCTTTCAACTGTATGTGTTATGAAAAATGATCACAAAAATAAAGGAGTGAATAAGAATTTGGAATCAGTTTCTTTTTCTTTCTTTGAAAACTGGGTTCAGAACAGCAAGAGACTTCTGAAAATTTAAAGTTCCAAATTTTTAAATAATTTTGAGAGTTCTCTGTAGATCATTATTACAAATCTCTCTTCCATCATAATTCTGAAGAGAATATTGGAAAGAATTTTATTCATGTCACTTTATAGAAAGAGTCAAACAGTTTTTATATGTTTAAGAAAACATTTTGTGAGACAAGAAAGCCTTTGTGCAAAGATTAAACAAGCATGTACTATAAGCAGGAACAAACATGCAAGCCCTTTCAGCGAGATTTATTGGATAAAATGTGCTCAGAGCCTTAATCTACAGAAAATGTTTTGCATCCGGGTTTGCTTTAATAATTGTAGGATAGAGATTAGTTCCTTTACTAAGCAAGTTCCTATTTCACTTTTGCTCTTGTTTTATTATTATATCATTCCAAGTAATTTACAATATTTGGAAACAGTTATAAAGCAATCAGAAATAAATCAATCACTAAATAATATCTGGCAAGCACATTATTTACACGATATGAATTTGTTCAATTACAAATCTTTATTTAGATCCAAGTATCTTGTTGATCACTCTTTCCCGAAATGTGTTTGATCCATTACTAGGTGCATTAGATACTCCATGGAAAAAGTTTCTGGGTCCCCAATCAGTCTGGGAAATGCTGTCTATTACATTTCCCTCATGATAATTCACTTTCTGCTTCAGCACCCTGCAGTATATCAGAGTTTCTTCAGTAAAGAAACTGTTTTACTTTGTCTTGCCAAGATCTTCCCCAACATATCTTACCATTTTTAGAGATATAGGTAAATCCTTGTTTTGTAAGTTTAGTACAGTCATTTCAGATCATCAACTTGCTTAAAAGTTTCTCTTCTCGTATTGCTCCTTCTGCTCATCACAGCATATCACTTTCATACCAAATGCCATGGGTTTTAGTGATATTTTGAGTCATTCTCATTGAAGTATGAAGTAAGTCTCTTAGAGAATATCTCAACTAGATAATTTATTACTAGAACTAAACTTTACCAGTAGTATGCTTATTTCATGAGGATGTGCATAGGATTAAGCACTAGGATTGTAGACACACACACACAGTACTGGAAAGAAATGGAAAAACTATCTTCAAAAAGTCTCAGGAAATCTATAGGAGATAGCATTCTTCTTTACTGTTAATATCTGCTCTGGCAGTGTTTTCCAATTCATGTGATTTGATGAGATGAGAAGGGAAATAACATTAATGCCTAACCTATACTGAGATAAATACATCTCATATGGTGGTGGTGGGGGAGACTATTGTGTAATTTTTAAAAGGACCAGTCCAAGAATCAAGAGCTTTAGTTTCTGGTTCAACTTTTCCATTAAAATATTGACATTGGATAAATGATTTAATTTCCATTGGCTTTGGTGTCTTCATGTATAAAATGAGGTATAGTTGACAAACTGGTATCTGTATTCATCTGGACATTGGAGAAACAGAACCCATAAGATGCATATGCAGAAAGACATCTATTCTAAAGAACTGGTTGGTGATTTTGTGGGTTGGCAAGTCCAAAATCTGCAAAGCAGGCTGGCAGACTGGAAGCCCAGGAGAACTGGTGTTTCTGTTTGAGTCTGAAGGCTGTTTTCAGTAGAGCCAGAAGAGCTAATGTTGCTGATGAAGCTCAAAGATAGTTGACTGTTGAATTCTCTTTTGTCTCTGGAGAGGCCAGCCTTTTTGTTCTATTTAACTTTCAACTGATTGGATGAGAATTATGGAGAATCATCTGCTTCCTATAAATAAACCAATTTACATGTTAATCTCTCCAAAAACACCTTCACAGAAATACACTGAGTAATGTTTGGTCAAATATCTGGGCACCCTGTAGTCCAGAGAAGTTCACACAAATGTAACCATCACAGTATCTAAGACAGTTTGACTTCTAATCTCCTCTGATTTTCAGCTAGCACAGGCATAGCCATTCCCTCATTCCATGTGATAGTTCACAGGGCCCTGTGAGTCATGGCAGCAGCAAGTCCTAAGCCATAGGCCTGTGTTCATTCACCCAGCACCCACCCTGTCTTTCCCAAGCCCCTCCTACTGAGTGGCACTGCACTAGATAAGGAATTTAAGTTTTATTCTACGAGCAGTGGGAAACCATTGAGCAATTTTAAGCCGAGATATCTGATTTGCATTTAAAGAGATCGTTTTGGTTGTAGTACAGAACTGGAGTTGATCAGGGCAAGCATAGGTGTCAAGTATAGATGTCAGGTCAGAGGTTGTCATCAGGCAGTTCGTACCTGTGGTACCAACTGGGTCAGCGGGAAGGAAAGTGAAGACAGGCCTCAGACGGTGCTAAGTTCATCACTAGCAGTCATAAGAAACCCATTGTTTGAAAGCCAGACTGGAAAGCTTCAAGCATGCATAGTCTTTGGTTTCTGGGCAAGAAGTGATACTATCTGCTTTTTAATCCCAGATAAATTTAAAGATTGTGATATGCTCCTCTCCACTTAATTTTAAAAGAATCAGTATAAAATCATAAAATGTCAACACTTGACCCATCTTTCCCTAGTTGTGTGTCTTGAACTAATTCACATGTAAGAAATGGGAGAGACATTGAGAGACTACATAACCTCTGTAGATGGAGGTGGGCTGTTAAGTCTGCCTGGGACTAAGTGGTCATAAGATAACTTCACACTCCTTTCAGAGAAAGGGTGTAGTGTCTTTGGGCAACCTCGTGAGATGTGTGTGGGCTGGCACAGCCAAATGGCCTCTCTGGGCCCGACAGCAGCCCACATGTCTGTTGCTGTCTGCCTTGTTGCTGGCCCTCTCTTCACATGGATGTTGTCTGCTGTCCGATACCCTATACCTTTTTACCTCGTCTGGAAAGTCCCTATTTATGCTTGAACACCCTGAGCTTTTTCATCAACTTCATCCATCCTCCCTGCTAGAATTAATTACTCATTTTACCATGACACTGTCACTTATTATTTTATGATGTTTATCAATTTGTCTCTCTCAATAGACTGCGGTGACTTGGGGACACAGCATATTGAGCTAATGTCCTCGTTAACCAGTAAAATCGACACTTATTAAACACATACCAGGTGCCAGTGTTGTATGTTCAAATTGTTTACTTTGCAAATTCTGTGAATACAGGGACCATATTTTTGAATGAGAAAATAGACGACTTACTCATATACACATGGTATGACTTCTTTCCATGTGCTTTACTCAGACTTCTAAAATTATCTCTTTAAGGTAGCACAGTAATGCCACTAGACAAAATCTTTAAACTTAAAACTTTCTGGATGAAATTGAGCTTTGTATCTAATGGCTCAAAGAGATTTTGTGTTTTTAGCCATTATTCTGTGGGTATCTGATAGTTTTATATTCTGTATGTTTTACCAAAAAGGAGTCTAAATGCATTTCTTTCCTCTTTCCAGGGACCATAATTTTGACTACTTGGAGTTTCGCCTTTGGATTGGCCTGTGGTCAGCCTTCCTGTGTCTTATTTTGGTAGCCACGGATGCCAGCTTCTTGGTCCAGTATTTTACTCGCTTCACGGAAGAGGGCTTCTCTTCTCTGATCAGTTTCATCTTTATCTATGATGCTTTCAAGAAGATGATCAAGCTGGCAGATTACTACCCCATCAACTCCCACTTTAAAGTGGGCTACAACACCCGCTTCTCCTGTGCCTGTGTGCCGGCCAATCCAGGTGAGGATGTCTTGCTCAATGCTTGCGTGTGCCCTGTGCTTCAAGGAATGTACAGGGTCCATGCCTGCAGATTCTCACATGGAATCATTATCCTCAGGCAAGGGTCTGTTGCCTCAGAGAGATCATCATGCTGAATTTGAAGCCTTCTGATTCCATCAGGAATAAAATCAAGAGCTCTGGAATGTGAACAAAACCAGCTGAAAACTTTGAAATTAACTTAAGCTGCTATATTTGCAAAGAATTTATTTGTTTTACAATATCAACAATATATTTTGATCCTTATTTACACTTTTAGTTTTTCATACCAGAGAAACTATTTGGTATTTACACATGTGTGTCCTGTTTATTTCATTTAAGAGTATGGCCTCAATGTGTATCACTTTGCTATAAATGTCTCTAGTTTCTCCTTCTTTATGGCTGTGTAGTACTCTATTTTATAAAAAAAATCACATCTTCTTTCTCCAGTCTCCAGTTGATGGGCAATTGGGCTGTTTCCAAGTTTTTGCTATTACAAACTGTGCTGCTATATGGGTGAGCATATATCACTGTGGTATGATTCTCTTAATTCTTTTGGGAATTAGGAGGAATAGCTGGGTCAAATGGGACTTCTAATCCTAGTTGTTTGAGGTATCTCCATATTGATTTCCACAGTGGTTGCACCAGTCTACACTCCCACCAACAATGAAGAAGGGTTCCTTTCTCCCCACAACCCCGCCATCATTTGTTATTGGTTGATTTCTTGATAGCAGCCATTCTTTCTGGGGTGAGGTGGAATCTCAGCATTGTTTTCATCTGCATCTCGCAAATGACCAGTGATGTTGAACACTTTTTCATATGTTTATTTGCTTCTTTTTCTTCTTTGTCTGAGAAATCTCTGTTCAGTTCAGATGCTCATTTTTGAATTGGGTCTTTCAATTTGGGAGGTCTGATTTTTTTGAGTTCTTTATATATTCTAATTATTATACCTTTGTCTGAGGAACAGCTGGTAAAATTTTTTTCCCACATTGTAGGTTGTCTCTTAGCTCTGTTGGTGATTTCTCTTGCAGTGCAGAAGCTTTTTAATAAGATGAGATCCCAGTTGTTGATTCTTTGTGCTAGTTTCCATGCTACTGAGGATTTGTTCATAAAGTTTTTCCTATGCCAATGTCTTCTAGAGTTCTACCTGACTTATTTTCCAGCAAGTTTAGTGTTTCTGTTTTAATATTTAGATCTTTAATCCACTTCAATTTTAGTTTAGTAAATGGTGAAAGATAGGGGTCTATGCATTATTCTCAACTTTTTGTGGTGAGGAGATCTAGGTACATATACTGGTGTTTGTTGTTTGTTTAGTTTTTGGTACTGGGAATTGAACTCAGGACCTTGCAGGACCTTGCGCTTGTGAGGCAGGTGTGTTACCACTGAGCTAAATCCTAGGCACATATACTGTTTTAACAGGTACAAATATCAGATGAACCTAAATTTGCTGAATTTATATTCCATATTTTCTGCTTCTTTACTGCTATGGGAATATTTTCTTTTAAGTAAGCTTAAAATGGATGTTTTAAGTTTAGAGAAGAAACAAAGAATATATCAATTCACTTTACATAATTTGAATCATAAAATAAAAAAAGAAATTCAGATTAGAGTCACTGAAGATAAAAATAGAACCTTATAATTTACCTCTACTAGACAATATAAATAAGAAAGGAAAAAAACACAAAAGGAATAAGAGGGGATGGAGGGATGGAAGACGGGAGCAGGTGAGCATGTTGTATTCTAGGAGATGTGTATTTTCAAGGGAGAAAATGACATAAAAGTAACTTCTGTGTGAGGAATGTGATTCTATTCATTTTAATGTTTTAATATCTATCTTACCAAAATCAATATCAGAAACATCTCTTTAAAAAGTGTTTAACTTGGTTTTCAAAGGTTTTTTCTTATAATAATTCATCATTGATTTTATAACAGAAGACTTTCAGAAAAATAATTTGCTTTGATGAAAGTTGCTTCAGATGTGGTCTTGTAGAATAAGGGGTAGATGTGTGTATTCAACTGTAGTACTTTAGGCTGATTGCATAACTTGGGGTTAGTAGTGCTATAGAGATTGATATCAGTGCTTTTAAGTACAGTTTCGTGGCACCAGGAGTGCCACAGTATTCTAGGGGTAGTGTGAACTTGAGGCATAAATTGGGAGCAATTCATGCAATATCCACTTTGACTTATGGATTCTGAGGGAAAACCTTTTCATATTGACAGTTAAACAAACATGGTTTTATTGTAGACCAGATACAAAAAGCTTATGATTGTGAAACATAAACAAGATGCTGTGAAGAATTTTCTTGCCTGTGAGGGGTTGTGTCAGATTACCCACAGATTCACTGGTGGCAAAACCATCCTGCTCTGTCCCCCACCCCCACCCCATGGAGAAGGCCTGAGAAGACCCATGCGCCTCAGGGTGGTGAGGGAAAGGGCACAGGAACTCCTTGAGGTGTGCTCAGTCACATGGATGGAAGGACAGGGCATCTTGGGCTTCTCACTCACAGATTCTTTTTGTTTCATCAGTAAATGTTTGCAGTACCTAGCGATCACGTTCATCGTGAGGCACTGACACCCACATACGTAACATTTTAATTCTTTTTTTCTTCATCTTCCCTTCCTCTCCCTCTCCCCTCCCTCCATCTTTTGGTCTCCTTCCCTACAGCAAAAGATCTGTTTCCTTGTTTCCTATTGTCTTTTGTTTTGCTCTATAAGTTTTGTCTTGTTTAAAGAAAATCAACATACAATCAAATAAAACCTATACTTAAAAGCAAAGCTGAGAGGGCCTAAGTGGAAACTGAACAATTCAGGTGAACATGAGTGTTCTGCAGCTATAACAGCCCAGGAGCGCTAAGATGTATGCTGGTTTGGAATACTTGTGTTTTGTAATTCTAGAAGTTCTCAGAACAGAATAGGCATGCACTGTATTACAGATACTGTTATTAGAATCAGTTCACTATGCTCCCCAGAGAAACATGACTGTGTGGAACTCTTCTGAGAGGGAAGGGGGTCAACCTCCTGTAGCCACTCAGCCTGCACACATAGGGAAATCCAGACAGTAAAGCACTAGACTCACAGACATGTCAACTGGAGGGTTTTGAACTTTCTGCCTACCTGCCTGTCTCTGTCTCTGTCTCTGTCTCTCTGTCTCTGTCTCTGTTTATCTCTCTTTTTCTGTCTCTCTCTCTCTATGTGACTGTCTCTCTCTATGTCTCTGTCTCTCTCTGTGTCTGTTTCTCTCTTTTCTGTAAGCTGACCTCTACTAAAATTTCTAAAGAAGTATAAATTTCCTCTCAGCTGTTTTGTGGTATAAGGTGTTCATACAGCCAGATGAGGTCTTTGTCAGCACACCTGTCATACACAAAAGAGATGCATGCCTACCTCCCCAGGCTAATGCAAACCTGCATCCACTGTTTTCATTGGATTATGGCAGGGATGGTACTATGAAACCAAGGAAGGTATACATTAGTGTGTTCAACTTGTAAAACACACAACAAAGATTTTCCATACAAGTTCACTTCTAGGAATGATCTTTGTATTGTTTGCAATGGGACACTGAAGGCTGAACCAATTTAAATATGCATGGCAGTACAGGCATTTAAGATAACAGCTTTTCCGTTTTTATGCCTTTCTTCTTTCTCCCCACTTATTTGTCATTATTATTATTTTAATTAGTACAGGTTTGCAATACATAGTGAATGCATTCATTGTGTTTCCTGTGTAAGAAACACAGGCTATGTAAGAAGTAAATCCTAAGTCACTAAGGAGTTGTCTCAGGACTGACAATTCCTATTCCTGTGGTGCTGGTGTAAAACAATATAGCAGGCTTTGAGGTCAGAAAGTCTTGTCTAAAGAAAACAATACATTATGTGTGTTTTTGTTCAGCTAGGAGGTAGAAAACAAAAGTATTTGCTTGCCTGTAAGTTACAGATGTCTAATAACCATAAAGCAAAAATAATTAATTTGAAAGTCCATCTATTCCTATGTTCAATAAAGTTGGATTTTTATGTAACAGGAAAAAAAAGAAAAGAAAATCTTGTATTTGAGTCCCAGCTGACTAATGCCAAATCTGTAGTATTGGGCAAGTTCCAATGGTAGCTTAATCTCACTCTCCTTGTCTGTAAAATGGGGCTACTAAAGGTACAGCCTTGTAGAATTGTTTTGATGAAAATAAAAGAGATGTGGACAGATAAAATACTTCAGATGTACTGTAATATGAAAATATGCACAGATATAAAATATGTAGTGAGTAAATGCTAGCTGTGTTATTATTGTTGTTAATCTTTACTAAAATTTAGGGATAGCATTTGGCTTTTGGTGTGAGTGATCATGCACATACACCTGTCTATCATTTCCCCTTCTAACTGAACTTTGTTAGGCATTTGGCTCATTCTGAAACTACACTGTTGGTTGTACCATTTATCTCTGCAGTGGTTCAGATGTATATACAAATAAGAGGGATTTTTTTAAACCTATGGAAGTGAAACCTGTCTGTGGCTTGGAAAAAGGAAAATGGACATTATTTGCATTTTCATAACAATCTCATGCTTTATAAAACTCCATAAGACTAGTCTTTGTGTGTTTCTATCATAACTTTAATACTTTTTGACAACCTTAATACTTCCCTATAACCTTAATAATTTCTTTAGAAAGCTGCATACATCCATCATAAATTTCATACTTTCTGATAGCAGACTGAAAAATGTTGTGAGAATAATGCAGATGCATGTCCAGATTGAGTGAGTATTCTAAACACTACACAAGACTGCTCTTTTGTCGCAACATGCATGCTTAGTTGAAGAGCTCAATCAATAAGTCAGTAGTATTTAAACTGGATTATGGCTCATTTCCCAACCCTGGGATAATACAGTATGTAACTACAAACTAGCAAATGCATAGACAGAGTCATGGGGCTGTCAATTGAGCCACATTTCTGAGTTTACAGAAATGGAAGTGAGGGGTCACTAAAATCACCAAGAAAACTC